CTCCTTCCCTTATTTTCTAAATCCAACCTATCAAAAATAAAGGTGGGAAAACCAAAAGAAAAAATGACAATAAAATTTTGTTAAAATATATAAATAATAATCAAGTCATTCAAAATGTCACAATTTTTTTTAAATCTTTAAATACTTTTATGATATTAATGATTTTAAATTAAATAACTAAGTTGCCCCTTATTTAAAATAATCAACCCTAATCACAATTTTTATTTAAGTAATCACAACTTTTATTTTGTAAATAATAAACATTAAATAAAAAATCATAACTTTTTATGTGAATTTTTTTATCATTGAAATTCAAGTTATGAAAATAATTAGTTACAATTTTTGCTCAAGCAATCATCACTTTTATTATGTAAATTGTAAATATTGAATAAGAAATCACAATTTTTCACATGATATTTTTTAGACAAGGGGGTATTTAATTAGTTAATGTAAAGTCATTAATATTAAAAATGTATCTAAGAACTTAAGGGGAATTATTACATTTCAATAAATTTGGTTGTCATTTATATATTTTGATGAAATTTTATCATCACTTTTACAAACCAAAACTGGCCTGCCCTACCCTTGACGGTCCTAGCCCTTTTAAAGCTTCAACTAACAAGCTTTTGAGCTTCACCACCTTTTCAAAAAAAAATATTATTGTTTGCAAAGCTAGCTCTTAAGCTAACAGGCTTAGGGTTGGCTTTAAAAGCTTTAGGCCCTTTTAATTTTTTTAAAATAAATATATGAAAATAAAATAAATTTAACCATAAATAACTAAATATTAATCAATTAAAATATCAATTTATTTTTTAAATTCCCAAAATCAAATCAAACAATGCTAAATAAACCAAACAAGTATTCTCAAAATATCAATAAAACAATAACACTAGTACTATTATCATCTTTGTCACTATCATCTTTAATATTAATAATATTTGATTGTGTTTCACTCTGAGTTAGTTCTTCAATGACAAATATCAAGATTGTCTTTTTTATTTAGGATAGTTTTTTTTTATTTTTTTTCATTTTTAAATTTCACATTTGAAATTTTCTCCCTTCTCATTTATTAAATATCAATAATTTTTAACAATAATGTATATACGGGCTAGCCCTTGGCCATAGTGGATTGGCCTGCTTATTTTTTTTTATTCCATTAACGCTAACTCATTTAAACTTGATTAAACCTTAATGCACCCAAAATTAAAAATTGACCCTCCATTTAAATGGCTCAACCTTTTTTCCCAACTAAAAAAAATTAAAAAAATGAGCTGGCCTTAACTACTTGCTTGAATGAATCCATAGATCTAGTTCCCACAGTCTTATTAAAAAAAATAGTCTAACCTTTATTTTTTTTTAGTTATGATTTCATTTGGAATTTGGGGCGTCATGCTTTTGGAACATGGGAGTGGGTAAGTAAACAGTTAAAAGTGAAGTAAGATGCATAGTACTTTTGCACTTTAAAATTATAAAAATATTCTGTGTTTCTTTGGCCAAATAAATAATCTGCATTTCAAAATTCAAATTCTCTATAATTGAGATTCTTCAACTTGTCATTTCAGGGGATGAGTTCTCTCCTAGTGAGAGCCCATCCTAATCAAAATTGTATTCGGTGCTGGTTATCTATGATGGGCACCATGTGCTCATCGGGTTAGGAGAGATTTTGGTCCTTTATTTCAGTCTTTTTTATCCCTATTGTTTATTTAAATTAATTTTTTTAATTTTTTTAAATATTATATTTATTAATATAAAAAATGTAAAAAATTTTAAAATTTTAATCTATCTATTTATTACCAATCTTGTCAATACAAATTTAATTTGACAGTCCAATTTAATATTTAAGAATTATAATTTTATAATTTAACTATATAAATAAACTTTGTACAGTTTAGGTATAATTTAGATGACCTAATTTAATATTAAAAAATTTATAAATTTTATAAATTAACCATTTATATGTACTCTAGGTAGTTCAAATTTAATATTAAAATTTTTAATGTTTTTTATTTTAATAAATATCATATTAAAAATATTTAAAATTTAATTTAAATAAACAGCAGGGATCAAATAAGATTAAAATAGATGGTCAAAATTGTTTATAACCTTAATAAGCACGCGGTGCTTGTCATTGCAATGAGCATTGAATGCGGACACATCCTAATCTCTCTTGCCCCCACAATGTGGAGTGGGTCCCACCCTCAGAGAGACTAGGATGGACTTTCACTTAGAGAGAACCTTGATGTATCATTTCATTCTTAGAATATTGCATTCTTACATGATGCTAAAGTTAAGCTAATGTCTTTGCTAATGGAAATTTTATTACTATCCTCTTCTATTTCTGTTTCCAAATAGAAAATGGACAATTTATTTTTGAAATTTAAAGTATTATTTATATTGGAGTATCCTGTAAACTAATAAAAAAGTTACGTTTTAAAATATTGTACAGTGACAAGCATATTATATAAATTTGTTTTAATTTATAGTTTTCGATTAAATATATCTTTTTTAAAATAAAAGAAGTATTCCATCCTTTAATCAAGTCAACGACAAAGAAGAGAATAAACTTTGGCATTGGGATTTAAACAAATAATTTCAACTAATTTCATTCATTGTTAAATTCTGGCAAAAAAAAAAAATTGTTTAAGTGCTCACTACTTAACTGAAAATGATTGTATTAATTTATAATGAATGAGTAAATATATGCCGTTTGCACTCCTTCCAATTTTTAATATGAAACAAACTTAAGTAACATTGCTCTTGCTAATAAATTATAATTATATTCTTAAAATTATTAAAAAATATGTAATTTTATAATTTTAACTATTTTCATAATCAATAACTATGTTAAAAGAAACTAGAGGAGGGAGTATTACATGTAGCAGACATTTTACGCTGCTTCACATGCTCACAAAACTTAAAATTCCTCCATTATAGGCTTATTTTTTTAGTAAAAGACTTAGATAATTAATATTATACACTTAATACATTTTTATTCAATTAAATCAAAACAAGAAAATTTATTGTGTTAATAATATTAATAAGAAGAGGTTGTTATATAATAAATAAAACATATAAAATTCACACTTCTTAATTTAATTAAAAATAATCATCTTAAATATAAAAGAGGCTACATATAGAAGTATTTTATCTTTTATAAGCACAGCTCACAAAAAAAAATAAAATTACTCTTTTGGCCAAAAACTAATAAAAATAAAATTACCCTCATTTAATTTTGCTAGAAAAAAGTAAAATAATTTTTTTAGATTCTATTTTCATACTTTTATATGAATTGGATAGGAGTGTACTTTTTAGAGCAGGAAGAAAAGAATAGAGGAATATTCGGTAGTGATTAATAAATATCACATCACATTCTGTAAATAGTCCTATCTTTAAGGGGGACAAAGTGAAAATGAGTACTATATTTAAGAATTAGAATGAAGAATTCTCTAATCCTTTTTCAAAGCAGGAGAATGATTTTTTAGTTTGTTTATTAGATGAAGTAATTGGCATTTTATTACAAATTTTATCATGTTATTCGTATTAAATATAAATGTGAAAAAATATTAATAAAAATATATTATTAAAATATGTAATTTAATTAAATTTTAAAAAACGTATTTTATTAAATTTATATTAATATAAATAAAATTTATTTTTTATTAAAATATGTAAGTCATTTTTAATTAAATTTTACTCCAATAAATTAGTTAATTATTTTTAAATTAATATTATTTTTTATATTTCTATATTTACTCTTATTTAATATGATGCTTTAATTAAAAATAAATATAAAATAAGTTATTTGTCATAAATATTTTTTTAAAAAATATTAATTATATTTTAAAATATTAAAAGTGCTTTATATTTTTTAATATTCAATCTTTTTAAAAATATTTTATACTCTCTCCATTAAAAAATATAAGATATTTTTTAAGAGATTGAATATTTAAGAATATAAGGTATTTTTAATGTTTCAAGTTATAATTATTATATTTTTTTAAAATTTTCTCTAATAAATAAATAATTTTATATTTATTTTAGAGTAAAACACACACTTTATTAAATAAAGATAAATATAAAAAAAGATCTTAGTTTAAAGCTAAATACTCTCTCTATTAAAAAATATAAGATATTTTTAATCGAATCTCACCTCTCAATAAAGTAATTATTTTTTTAATTAATTATATCTTTTTATATTTATCTTTATTAAATATTTTAAAAAAATAAAGCCATATATTCAATAAAATATTTTTTTAAAAATAATGATTACTCTTTTTATTAAAAAATATAAGATATTTTTTGAAAAGTTGAGTGTTTAAAAATATAAAGTATTTTTAATCTTTTGAGATGTAATCAATATCTTTTTTTAAAAGTGCCCCTATTAATGAATGATTTATATTTATTGTAAAATATTTAATAAAAATAAATATAAAAAGATATGGTTAGTTTAAAAATAAATAATTATTTTATTAAAAAATAAGATTTAATAAAAAATATTTTATATCTTTAAATGAAGGAAAATATTTTAAAATATTTAAAATATTTTTTATTTTTTAATAAAAAAGTAACTATTAAGAGGTATTAATAAAATTTAATTAAAAACATTTTTTATTTTTGAACTGGAGATGCTTTAACGGAGAGAGAATTACTCATAAGATTGGGGGGGTGGGAATACTCCGTTCCCAAGAAGGTATCGAATCTCGAAACTCGTAAATAACCACCTTTGGCGGTTAACATTATCCATAAAATACATCGCAGGCTATACTCAATTCGCAGCAAAGCGAGTGAAAGAAACGCACCGCAAACTCAATGCCACGCGTCAACCACGCATTTCGCTGCCGCGTAACTCTGAGTTGTAAAATCACATTCGATTCGTAAACGACCTATCCCCGCGCGTATCACTCAAAATTCACTGCTGAATGATGATATAATCACACTAAACCAGACCCCATTTTCTGGGTCCTCGCTTCTTCTCCTCCGTTCGCCGGTGACCCACAAGTCCCCGGCCACTGGACAATCGGCATCTGCCGTCACCCAATCACCGAGAAGTGAGAAAGAGCGTGTGAACCATGAACTGGATCTACCTGGTGCGCATGTATGGGGCAGTGGAAGGATGAGATGACTGCGACGTTTAGCTTAGTGTGAAATCTTTGACTCTGTAGCGCACAACCACACCCAATGACGGGCAGAAAAAAACAACAGCAAAATGGGTTTCTCGAATTTTTATAATAAAAATGATATAAAATTGCAAAGCGTCATGTTATAATAATGATTAATGTAATATCAACGCCAGAGAAGTTAAACTAAAAGTTTGAGGGTCTCTTTTAAGCTGTCGTGGGCATCGTTCGATTCTTCATCGAAATGATGGGAGCTCCGGTTTTTGTAACTGGGAAGAGATAGGGTTTCATTGGGGCTCGGGGAATTTCGTTCTGGTTTTCGTGGTCACCAAGGTGGCATGATTTGAGCGGGAAAAGCTTCTGAAAGTAGCTTTCAAAGGTTCGACTTCTATTCCCTTCTTTTTTTTTTTTTTAATTTCTATTCTCAAGAAATTGAATTCCCTTTAACTGCCAAGGAAAAATGAGAAGGTGGGTAGAATCATCATGGAAATATAAAATCTAATGGAATTTTCCAATGACATATGAACTGGATGCTTTTGTCTTGAAGTAGTGTTTACTCGTGTGCTTTCCATTTAAGCTCATCTATTTGATATTGTAATGATTACTGGTACGTTCCTCTTGTATCTTCTTCAGTTTTTGTTGTCTTTCTCTTTCCTATACTAAATACTGTTATTTGGCTTTTGATGAATCCAAGCTTCAAAAATGATTTTTGCAGAGGCCGTTGAACACTTTATTCATGGTTGTTGAAGCATGGCTGAGATGAATGAATAAACAAAATCAGGGATTAGATAAATCCAATATATTTGCTGTATCTGTTTTCTTCCTCTGATCAATTAGTGCCACACGATCAGGCTTGGTTTGTCGGCACTTCTATCCATTCCCTCTCAAAGGCCTACTGTTTTATTATCTCTTAACCACAAAATTTTCATCTAACCTCATGGTAGATCTTCTGGTATTAAGTTTCTTAACCTTGTTTGATGCCATCTCTTCATTTTTTTTTTTTTTGCTGCGATGGTCTTGTAGAGTGCCTGCAAGTAACATAACTACAATTCTTGGGCACAGTTAGATTTTTATCAGGTGTTGATCCCCATGGAACGTATGTTAGTGCCGATTATACTTCTGTAGAGTCAGTATTAACTTTTTTATATGAGAAATATGATTCTTAAAGTGCATCCATTCTGTACGTGCATTTTATTTAGTATCATAACTTCTATTTCTAGATTGGTTTTAACATATGACTTGACATTTCTTCTACTCTAGTCAATCTCATTCATGGTTTACCTCGTCCTAGTTTGCTTCATTCTGATAAGTATTATTTTTCATCTGGAAATGATTTTCTGTTTTCTGAACAGCAGGTTGTTATTTTTGTGTATTATAGGAATGCTGATTGAAATACTGGGCTGACCAATCCATTGAACATGAATTCTCCATCCACACAGTTTGTTTCCCCAAGAAGGATGGGTGTGTATGATCCAATCCAACAGATTAATATGTGGGGAGAAAGTTTCAAAAGTAATGGTAATTTAAATGCCTTAATTGGTGAAGCAGGTGGAAAGTTAATTAATCAGGTAAAACTTTACAAAGTTTATGCTCTGTTTTGTTTTGTTTTTGTTTTTTTTTTTTTTTTTGGGGGGATGGAAAATGAGAATGCCTATCCTGCCTACTGAGCAAATTCATTTTTTTTGTTAACACCTAGCCAGAGGATGCTTCTCATAACGCATTGGGTACGTCCCAGATGTATGGACAAGAAGCTAATAAGCCTATTGATAAGGTGAGAGAATGTTATGAAAACCCATTGCCTATCCCTTACCTTCCTCTTTGAACTCCGACAACTGAAAAGTGAAAAAGGGTCATGTTTTCGGGAGCAGTTGGAATGCTGAACTATATTGTACATTTAATACTTCCAGCAAGTGTAACATTCAATCAAACTAGTCTTTGAATGCAAATGTCATAATAACTAATTCTGTTATTGTATATAATGTCACTTAGAAGTTCTATTGCTCAATCTGACTAGTCGTTTAATGTGATTGCTATTGTTGTCAACCCTAGCAATGTTGATTGATAAGGATGAGTGAATTCTAGGCATAAATCAAGAGTAGGGAAAAGTGCCATGTGGAGCCTCCTAAACTAGGCCACCAAATGGAGGGGAGGATATCCCTAAATGGGGGAAGGCACCCACTTTCTATTTTCTCTTATCTTCGTCTTTAGCTTTATGGATATTGTAACGACAACAAGGGAAATCATGTTATTACTGACCCTTTCAGACTCTCTCTCTCTCGGGAATCTATAATGGCTCCATTTTCAGACGTCTGTCATGCATTCATGCCTTTTTATATCCATTTGATGCATATATTTTGAGAAAAGTAGGAATGTGATGTTGTGAAAACATGCAGATACAAAGACGTCTTGCACAAAATAGAGAGGCTGCTCGTAAGAGTCGTATACGGAAGAAGGTTGGAAGCGTTGTGCATTGAAGGATAGTCATATGGCTAACAATTGTTTTGATATGCCAATTTTTCTGTGGTTTTTGATATTCCCTTGCAGGCCTATGTGCAGCAATTAGAATCAAGTCGTTTGAAGCTGATCCAGTTAGAGCAAGAGCTCAACCATGCAAGACAACAGGTGCAAAGAGGAATATCACTTGAATTTTTTTTTTTTTTCAGGATATTATTTTACATTGCTCATTATATGTTTTCTACTATTTTCAAAGTTTTCATGGAATAAAATTGCAGGGTTTATATATGGGCGGGGCATTAGATTCTGATAATCTGGGTTTTGCTGGAACTGTTAATTCAGGTTTGCCCTTAAATTTTGTTGTTATTATTCCACATCTTGGTTAGTGATATGATGCTCTAATGGTCTCTTTATTTATTCATTTGTGAAATCACTTACATGCCAAATTAATCATTGAATTTTCATTGTAGGAACTATCCTCCTAAAGTATCCACATATCTCTGTGTCCTATTAGTGTAAGCCATAACCAATTTTGGAACACAACCAATTTTGAAGCTTTGAACTAGCACTTTATTTTCTAGATTTCTAGACAATGGCTGCAAGTTCAAATTTCACCGTCTCTATGTACTGTAGCCAGAGTTATGAGTCTATGATTTATTCAATATGATAATCACTGCTGAATCTAGATTATCTGATCCCATTCTCATATTCCAAAATATTTAATGTTTTTTTGTTAAAGTCCCTTCTTTTCCTTTGTATTCTTACATTGTTCAAATATTGTGCACGACTCTACTAATGCCCTTATAAATTGCCAATTAAATAGGTACAAAGTATCTGCAAGTTATATATGTCCCAGATGTAAGTCTTACATGTAGCCTTGGAACAATTTTATTGAAATTCAAGTTCAACTCTAAAATTGATTAGGAAATTTTTTGTGTAAGCCTTATGATTTATACTCCACATGGTTCATTTTGGTTGATATAGTATTGATTCTTGGATTTCCTTGAGTAGGTTTCTCATCTCATATTCCCCTCCTTTTTTCAATTAGTTCTTGCATTCTAAAATCAAGCAACCTAACAATTTTGTAGGTATTACGACCTTTGAGATGGAGTATGGACACTGGCTTGAAAAGCAAAATAGACTAATCTGTGAACTAAGAGGTGCTTTAAATGCTCATATTAGCGACATGGAGCTCAGGATGCTTGTAGATAGCATAATGAATCACTATTTTGAACTCTATCAAAAGAAGTCTGCTGCTTCAAAAGCAGATGTTTTCTATGTGATGTTTGGTATGTGGAAAACTACAGCTGAGCGATTTTTCATGTGGATTGGAGGCTTTCGCCCCTCTAAGCTTCTAAAGGTAGATCTCATATCTGATTTATTAACGAAGTTAAGAATATCTTCATAGCATCTGTCTACATATGTTATTCCTTTGAAAATATGATTTGATTGCTTACTATACTTGTGCTTTTTTGTGTACCCAAATGCTTAATCTTTACCTTGCTTGATTTTAAAGTTCTTACCAACATTTTTATCTAAAGAAGAAGCACCAAGTCACCACTTAATGATCATAAATGCTTCAAGCAATAAATAAACATTGTTGTTGTCACTGCCACTTTCCCTTGACATAGTTGGATCCTTCATTTTTTTCTTCAAGAAGAATCTTTTACATCTCCCTGGGTGGTTCTTAGCAGTTTAACATTTATTCTTCTCTTTGCATTTTCTTCTCTCACTTCGAAAGCTTAACCATGTACTATTTAGTATATATATTTCTGTTGCATTATATATCATGCCTACAGGGGTGTTTTCATTATTTTTCTCTTGATTATACTATCTGGATATTTCTTAGGAATACCTTGCTAGTGGTTAGGAGCCTTTAGATATTGCTTATTCATTATATGAATTCAGACATAACCTGAGGAAAAAGTATTGGATTTAAACTTAAGTCACAGAAACCGTTCAAGTTAAAATTCACTTTTCTTCTCATCCCCTCCCCTCAGTGAAGCATACCCTTATTTACTGTCAAAAAGAGCATGGTCCAGCTGATATTTAAGAATCGTCTCAATTATGGATCTAGATCCTTTGAAGTTTTAGTTTCTGGAATTGGTGAAGTTCAATAAATTTTGTCTTGTGTATATTAAAAAAAGGTAAAAATAGAGTGCTAGTACTCTGCATTAAACTTCACCAGCTTCAAATGATCCAAATTTTTGATTTCATGCCTTGGTAAAGAATTGTAGCAGCACACCTGCAGTTGGAATTTAAACAACTGTGTAATTTGGATGCCTTAATAACTTCACCCTGTTTCATGAAGCTAAAGATTATAAGTCATAAAAGCAAACAATTTTTACTGCAGGTCATTGTCCCTCTGATTGAACCCTTGACAGAGCAACAACGGTTTGATATCTCTAACCTCGAACAATCTTGCCAGCAAGCAGAAGATGCCCTTTCTCAAGGCATGGATAAACTCCAGCAAACACTTGGCGATACTATAACGGCTGGACCACTAGTTGAAGGAACTTATATTCCTCAGATGGCTGCTGCAATGGAGAAAATGGAAGCTCTTGTGAGCTTTGTAAACCAGGTAATGAACTCCACTTTCTCAATGTCCTTTACTTTCCATGTTTTGTCAAAATTTCTCTTCAGCTTTCACGACATGTCGTGTTTCTCAGGAAAACACTAGTCTAGTTGTACTTTGCATGTATGTCTGCTGCATATAAATAAATCGGCGCAAGTTCAGGCACAGTTTTATCCCTGGATTTTCCCCCCTTTTGGTTTGTATTGGTCAACATAGGGTCTTGAAAAGATAATTGAGGAAAAGCACATGAAATCTATGCAATTAATCCAAGCTGAAATGATCTTGATTAGGGCTCTAAAGTATGTTAAATGGAGCAAATAACTGCATTCATTAATGTACATACTCTCTGCATCCCACCACTACTTTTAATGTCATTACTGGTAGGTAAAAAGAAAGAATGTGATTCACATCCCATTTTGCCAATGAAAATTCTGTCGAAAGCATTTGTATTTTTCCATTTAAACTCTTGCATGTAAGCTCAACCTGTTTGTATTGGGTAAGCCACTTTGTAATATTTAGTCTTGCTTCCTTTGTCCTATGTGAATCAGTTCTACCAACACCAAGTTCAGGAAAAGTGTGGAAAAATTGTTTCTTTGCATGTTTAAATGCACATATGACATAATTTTGTTCACATTTATAATAGAAAATAAATGGCTAAATCATGTTAATTCTACTTAGAGGGTTGAAGTGACTTTGAGTTGATGCTAAAGGCATCAACTAAACAGGTCCAAGTCTTGTAGTATTTATTCTTTTTAGTTGAATAATTTAGAGAATAAAAAATCTTAGCAATTTTTTTATCAGCATGTGTTCTAATAGAGCCATTCAAAGTCCTTCTGGTGCCAAGTCATGTAACAATAGGCATTATGTTTTGTGAACACAGTGCTGTGGTTGAGAACTAATCAAATATTGGGAGCATTTCAAAACTTTACACCATATAGATATTAGATCATAAAGCACACTGATGTTCATTTACCCATAATGACTCAACGTATGGATAATGAATGTCATTATTGATCATTAATTTCCACCTAACTTGCTGCAATGTGTGTGTGTGTGTGTGTATGTTATTTTAGCTTTGCTATTAGTAAATTTATTTTTTCTCCTCGTTATATTATTTTAGCTTTGCTATTTGTAAACTTATTTTTTCTCCTTATTTTTTCATGTAACTGAATTTACCCGGTGGGATAAGACTGTTTATTATTATTGTTGTTGTATTAGTAAACTTGAGCTTTTATGTCAAACAGGCTGATCATCTTCGTCAGGAAACATTGCAGCAAATGTTTCGAATCCTAACAATCCGTCAGGCGGCTCGATACCTGCTTACTCTAGGTGAATATTTCCAACGCCTACGAGCCTTGAGCTCACTTTTGGCTAATCGCCCACAGGAGCCAGCTTAGTCTTTCATCGAGAACACAAGCTTGGAAGTTGAACAAGATGACCATAGCCAATGCCCCATGAAACATCAGAACCTTGTACCATTTGTGGACTGTTGCTCAAAATTTTCCCAGCAGTCTTCTGTCATGAAGTTGTACACATGTCTGGCCATTTTATGAACAGAAAGTCTTAATCTGTGAATAAAAGACACTTTCATTTGGAAGGTTCAGTGTATATTTTTTGTTGTTAGCGAGTTCTTTATAATCTCTTGTATTAGTGATTTTGCGGGAGCTGAACATGTAAATGGAAGGTGCATAGTACTTGTATATAGCAAAGCTGTGTTTCATGGACATACTTGATTTGGGAGTGTTAGATAATATTTATCTGAACTGAACGAACTTTCTCTTTTTGTATCCTTTTCCCTTTTTTCTTCCATGGTTGGACTCACACCTTTATATATATTGTCGAAAAGCCTCACAAATAAAGTAGGGTTTATGGTAGCAATGTAAAATTTGATCCAAATTGTGTCCAAGGACATTGTTATTAAGAGCAATTCTAACACAATTGTTGGAGCTCCCTAGGATTAAGTGAAACCCTTCTATAAAAATAAACAAGGTAACAGAATAGTAGAAATGATTCAGATGGAAAATTAAACTTAGAAAATAGAGTGTAGAGAGGAAGAGAGTTGTCCAAAAACTCAAAGGCTTAACATCTGTCTGATGCACACACTCTGATATATATAGCCACACATTGAACAATACCATTTGAAGCACCGTTACTAAGTAAATAAATCACCTTCACTCCACAATAAAATATCATTCCACCTGCACCATTATTAAGCAAATAAATTATCATCACTCCATTGTTTTAATAAAATATCATTCCATCATTTTAACAGAATAAAATATCATTGGAGAAGAACGTTTCTGGACATTGGAGAAAACTTAATTTCCTATTAAAATAAATAAAACCACCATTTGAAAATTCAATGGAAGCAAATAGGTTTCAATCATTAAGAAAAATAAAGTGCAGTTAATGCAAAATAAAACCATGGTTTGGAGTTCAAATTTAAAAATGGAAAAAATAAGGATTTCCAGTAAAACTCCTCTATGATAAATGTTTTTAATTCTTGTCAAAAATAATTTCACAAAAAAACTGTTGTGATCCCTCCTCTCATGTAGGCAATGGAGGAATTATCTTTTGAAACACTCACACAATCATTACAACAATAAATTCAAGGGGCTCTCCACCTAACATGTAAGTATTTTGAAATGAACTTTCTTTTGGGATTTGGACTTGTAGCATTGGTACTTTTTGTAACCTCTCCCTATACCAAATTGTAGTCTCGCTACATATTCGATATAAAGAAGGGTTAATTTAATCACCATATCACTACACCAAACTGAAATCAAGTAAAATTTATTTGAAAGCGCTTGAGAACCCAAGACTTCTTTAATAAAATTATTTGAAATCAAACACATATTACACATTGCACAGTGAAAGACATATACATGCATTTATCACTGTAAATGTATAGCTTAAAATAGAAGAAACAAGGCTAGAAATAGGGCAATGTGTCGCGGCGTGCACCACAGAGCCACAGACTTCTATTCTGTGCTATGCACCATGGTGTACATGACAAAAGTTTACTGTCATATGACAATTTGCTGAGGCAAATTTCTTACGTGCGCCGTTTTCACATACGTTGTCCGATTAAAGTGATTCAAGCATCCACATGAAGTTTGTTTCATGAGCTAGCTAATGAGATAAGTTTGAACACGATCTAATGGTTCAATCTAAATTTAGATAGTCGAGTGTAAAAAGTCACTTTTTCTAACAAAAATTCATGAACCAAAGTATTAAGTTCGCATACTTCATCTCATTAAGCCATTTTGGACTTAGAACTAAGTCCAAAAGGACCCAACACACCTGATTGAATAACAATTACAATACATATGCACATAAATCAAGTTTTGTCCATTCATTCGCTCCTTTTCACAATAAAAATTGTTTTTACAACTGAACACAATAATGTGTTCTTGGCCATTTATTCATAATTTCAACACAAGTTCACCACTGCTAACATATTCAAATATACACATAAAGCCATGTCAGCCCACAATCACATTTTATCACTTTTTAACACAATTGGGCTAAAATTCACAAAAACCAACATATTTCACCATAAAAATCACCTCGTACTCTTTCACCATATAATTTCAATTAAATCTTAGCCCATATCACATGATTCACTGCATGTATCATATTTTCACACGCATTAGGCTAAAATTCTCAAAATCACTATAAGTTACAGTTTTAAACATACATATGGCATCCTTTGGCAACTTATTTGTATACAAATGAACAATGTATTAAGTTCATTATACAAACTCTGAGATCTCATGGCGATAACTCTACTATGCAGTCTAACGTCCTTTCCTTTTCCTAACTCACTACTTTGACCCATAAAAATATAATCACGAGGTGAAATAATAATCTTAGTAATAAAATGACTCGCTACTATTAACTATCATAAGTAACTATAAGTAAATATTACATATATATACATTCGAACATAGCATATAACATAGTTCCACACTATAAAAACATTTTCATAACAAACCATCACCAGTATTAGCATGATCAACTACTATCCGAACCTCCATATCACCCTGACTAAAATCATAGGCTCTTAATAGGCTAATACACACTCATTGAGTTGAGCATACCCTCAGTAGTAGAATCAATTGGCCAAAGGTGTTTTATCACATTTTTGGACTACGATTTTCCTTTATCATACATTAATTGGGGTGTCATTACTTTAGCACCACATCACATAGATGTTAAAGAGCTCAAATCTCCAATACCACATCCTATATGGGCACTAAAGAGATAATTCCCAACATCGCACCTTAATAGGCACTAAGGAAATGAAATTCTTTAATACTACACTTTATTGGGCACTAAGGAGAATGATTTCATAGAACTCTCACTACTTCTCCCTATGGGTGAACTCCCACCTATATGATCATGCTTTCATACCAATCACTTGTTTGTGTTTAAAACTGCATATAAATAGTATATAATTTATATTTGTTTAATTGAAATCCTTTTCATGCAACATTCACGCATTATCTCAAAACATGCACAATTTAAAACAATTTCATGCAATAGTGATAATAATCTTAAACAGTTACATTAGATAGTCAAATAGAGTAAGTATTTAGTTATCTCAACTCTTCTGTTATAAGAAAGGTTAACCGTGGATGTCTCAACAACTAATGTTTCCCTGCACTCTTCTTCTCTTAATCTACACGCACAACACACCAATCTACACACAATTAACACTATTAATCAATTAATCAAATTGACACAAAGTACTAATTATCACTAAAAACCACATTTAGTTATTTCTCTCCTTTCACTTGATCAATTTAGGCTCATTACCTCCCAATCACTCCTTTCTATCACCTCTATAGACCCCATCACATCTTTACTCAAAATTTCACTCCTTTTTCTTCATGCTTAAGGTTAATTTAAGCTTATAAATTCAAAACTTTATCATTTAACCAATCGCAAAGCCTTACTTTAATTCGGGATAACCTTTTTATTTCAAAAGAGTAAGGAAGAAACCCCTTAAATTTTTCCCATTTATTTTCTTTATAACTTATACTTGGAAAAATTGTAGTAGAATTGAAGCTAAATGCGGTATGAAAGTTACTCGATAAGCTATCAGTAAAAAATTTCTCTTGCTGCTCTAATACTTGATGCCCTAGCAGAGTGAAGCTCTCCTTCGTCTCTTCTCCATGCTTTTTCCTTCTTTCACTACTCTGTATTCACGAGCTTCCTGCATCATTTAAGGCAACTTTCTATGTCATGTGCTGTGGTATAAGCAGCATTAGTTGTGACGTGTGGGATAGTGAAAAAAATCTTCACTACACGCACACGTTTTCATCTAAAACACAATCTTTGCACTCGCATCTATTCATCCAACATTCCAAAGAGTCCAAAGATCAAACCTTCATCCAAAATCCTAATCACTCACCAATTACTAATTTTTTCTTAATTAGTAATTAGTTTTAAAATTAGAAAATCATAAAGGAGAAATGTCAACTATTTTGTTGGACTAATAGGGAATTATAAAAAGCCTCAAATTTAGAATCGTTGTCATTGCTTTTCTTTATTTAGGATGAAAATTATGTTTGATAATGGAGGGTTAGGAATTGTTGTCATCTTTTTTTTTTGCCAACAGGAATGGAAAAATAGCAATAAAATCCTATGAATTATATAAATGATAATTTGATTCCTCAAAATTTTATAATTCCATTGAAGTCTTTAGGGGCTTTTCTATCATTAATGAATTTATATAAATGATCAAATTGCCCTTATTGAAAATAAAATGATCACAAGTTTTATTTAAATAATCACAACTTTTCTTCTTATATTTACAATACTACAACAGAAATCACAAGTTCACATGTCAAATTTATGCTATTGCTACAAATGTTGGAAATTACAAGTAATGATCATAAGTTTTATTTAACTAATCACAACTTAGGCTTCCATAGTTGCTTACTTAAGGATGAAGGAGTTTTATCATCTTCCCTACACAAATCATAAGCCAACTTAATAGAGAAGGATCCATTCTTTCTCATACTTCCATCTAACTATATCTTGCCTATTCGAGAGCTAAGCATACTGTAAGCTAGTCTCAAAAAGATCTTAAGTCTGCTTGATTCTGCTCTAAAAACATGACTTAGGTCTATCTCTCTTGATCATGGGTAATAAGTCCTAACCACATATATATTTAGAACGAATGAAACTTGCCCATAGTGAGTCCTTCTTATGTATAAGACCCCACCTTTTTTTCATCAAGAAAGCTTCATTTTATGCATTAAGCTTTTTGATTCCAAGTCTACCTCAATCCTTGTTATGACACATATTCTCCCATACCACTAAATGAACTTTTTTGTGATCTTGCTTTGAGCCCTAAAGAAATGATCTAGAATTTTTTTCTAATTCCTTACATACTGCTGATGGTAGCATAGCTATTTGCATGAAATATTGTGGTATAGTGGTTAAGACAAAAGTTACTAGCGTATTCCTTCCAGCAGGAGAAAGGTTAGTCATCTTTCAATTATTCAACCTACTTTTAACCTTATCTGCCACATACATATAAGTATCCTTAGTCATTCGTTTGTGCTACATCGGTACTCCCAGGTACTTTCCTAAATCTGCAGTGCTAGAAAAGCCTAATAAGGTCAAGAGTTAGGCAATTATGGTGTGATTAATATTAGTCAAGAAAAAAATTGTAAGACTTATCTTGATTCACTTTCTATTTTGACACTACATAGAATTTATCCAAGTATCTTTTAATCACTTTTACTTGGTCCACATTAACCTTTGAAAATAT